GCTTTTAAGTCATGGATAAGCCCCTGAGAGTTTATTGTTTTATTTTCGTTCTCCTCTAAATTCCCTCTAGTAGTTCTAAATCCTTAATGGGAACAAGGCCCAGAGAAAGGAACAGTGTTCTGCTACAATGGCCCTCATTGCATTTTATCTTCTTTTCAGCTATTTTGTATGATACAATATAATGTTTTGGTATTTTCTGATTGTTATACAGACCATTAATGTTCTGGCTTTCCGGGCTGCATAGCAAAAATCCTACGGAAATCAATGCAATATGTTCTCAGCATATTTACATACAAAACATAGGAAAATTTTTAGAGGTCCAAATTGTTAGAAAGAAACATGTTTAGTATCATGCCTCAGAAATGTAGTCATAATGGATGCCAACTCTGGTACATAAAGATCGCGAAGTAGACTGATCTTTTTACTTATGTAAGTTACCAATGTAGATGCCCATTCAGGTGTTTGCACATACAAGAATCTGAATAGCATGGAAAAGAGTAACCATTGCCTGACATTTTACGTTGTGTGTCCATTTGCAGTGGGAACAAAGGATGGCAGAGGAAAAATTGACCACGTTATCTAAATGCTGGTAGCATCAGATGGCCATTTGGCTTCCCCAGAACCTTTGGACTGATGCAGGCTTTCACATGCAGCACAACAGGAAGGATGCTTGCGTGCAGGAGATTAAAACCCACATAAAATCATGGCAGGGTTGCAGGCCTTGCCTTTGGTCCTCCTGAGCACTTCTGTTTGTAACCCCGAGCAGCTCCGTAGCATTGAAAGAAGAGGAGTTACCATAACTCTAGTCATGGCCACTGGAATTGCCACACAGGTAGTAGCTGGTCAAATCATAAAAAATATAGCTGCATTTCTGCTATTTTTTGGAGTCCTAAATCCAAATGTCTTCTGACGCTTTCTCTTTCGAGCAAACAAACACTACACCTCTACTCTAACCTTTGCTCATAACTCACCGAGTCCTTTTAGAGCTGTCATTGAATAAATAATAGTTGAACATCTGGCTGCCTTCTCTTTCGTACATGAGCAAGATCCCTGTCACTCCAGTGATCTGGTTAAAGTGACTCATATGTCACTGCCGTGTCACAAGGGAGTCAGCCTTAGAGATAGGAAAATCAGTAGGAGTCCGCGCCGTGAGTGAACTGTAAAGATTATGTCTTGGTAATTTTACTCATCTTGAGTCAGGCCCTACTGCACACATAAAAACTCCGTTTCATTAAGGAAAACAGAATCTAACACTGAGTTAAAAGCCTTAGGATTTGGCCTAGTACTTTTAACTTTTAATTTGGCACTGTAACGGAACAATATGCGCTACTTGTTCTTACGCAATAAACAACAAAAATTGTTCTGTTGTATTCTTGTAGTTACCAAGCTCATATTGTGCAATTAACTGTAGAAGTATTTTTAAAACAATACGGTGTTAATAAAGGCCATACTAACTGGATTCTCTGTGAGTTTTCTGCTGAATTCATTGTACACTGCCTACTTTCAACAGCATTATTTATGCACTAGCTATTAGGAAAGATTTTTAGAAGGCAGTATTTTAATAAAACTTCAGAAATGTGTTTATGGTGCAGTTCTACATTTCTGTTAAGTCCTACAGAAAATAAATGGTTTTAGTCTCATAAACTGCTCACGTGGTCGTAAGGGCCATAATGAAGACATTCAAAATAGTAAGAGATTAACCAGAATTGCCAGTTACCTGTCTCCTATTCATGAACAAGGGGATATTTGGCTGTGCAGAATACTAACAAAATTTAAATATATCCCATTCAATATGTAAGTTTTACTGAAGCTAGAAAGATGAGGGGATTCGGAAAATTGTATGGACTCAGTATACACATGGGCATATCCATATTCAATCTTTGTACCAACGAAAACGTAGGTGTTGGTAGAACATGAGGACATATTACTGTGCTTGTACATAATTAAATTAGGCAGACATAACAGAGGACCTGAAGCTCACACTCCACAGTGTTGATTTGCCACCAGTTGATGTCACTGGGAAAAACCACCTTGCTAATCCACGGTTACTTGCCACGGACTTTTCTTCAAACTTTCCACGAAGCCCTTTGTACTAACAATTATCACAGGTGAGGTCTGGGACTGGCCAAACTAATCTAGCATGGCAATTCCTGTGTTCCCATGAAAAATGACCGTTTATATTGACAAGTCTCTGGAGTTCCCCATTTCTGTATGTCGTCCTTCTTAGCATTCTTGTTTGAAGGCACACTCTACAGTCATTTTTCAGGTACCTTCTAGTCATCCATGTTCCTTCACGAGGAAGATTCCACTTTCAGCAAGTTTTATGTTGTTTTGTCAGTTAATCGCCGAGCTTACAAGAGTTTTTGTAACTTAGAGGATGTGGTACCAGTTTATATCCACTTAGGTAAAGCCCATATCTCTCCGTGGAGGCCGGTTCTGTTTCCCACAGTACAGGGATGGCCGGCTGGAAGGGCGCAGCTATACATAAACACCCGGCTCCCCAGCCCCTCCGTGTATAGCCACACGGAACTACACACCCACTGAGCGCTGGAGCAGGGGAGCAGAGTCCCGTGGGGTTCCTTCCCTCCCCCCCGTCGGCGTGACTCCCCATCTTCCTCACTGCCATGCCAACGGAAAGCATTGGCTGCAGCGCAGCGGCTCAGAGCTTCACCTGACCAGCCTGCACCCGTGGCCAGGAACGGCACCTGACACCGACCACCCACAATCCATATTTTGCAACCGTACAACGCCTGTGGAAGATGCTCCAAGTATCAGCTGCAGAAGTAGTAACTTCTGCACCAGAGGATTTGTCATCAACTGCAGCTATCGCCTCTGTGTTCGACTAGGATGATGAACGGAATAGAAAATCATGTGGTAATTAGATATGGTTTTGAACAAAAGACAAATTATTTATTTCTTTCTTCAAATGAAGCATAACACTAAGGTATAAAGGGAGTATAAATAACATCTGATTGTGCTCCTAAGCTCCATGCTATAACTTTCTTGCAATGACATCCTTCAACAAATTAACTACATCATTACTGTTAAGTATTAATTGCACAAAACAGATACACAAAATATATAATGAGCTAGAAAGAGGACAACATTCTTCCATTATGACAAACAACTGTAACAAGAAATGGAAAAAAACCCCAATAGATCTAGGCTTACACAGATGGCGACACTGAGAGCTTTAAGTCCTCTCCTGGAACACATTACATGTGATAAATAATACGCAAAATATTTAAAGAATTTTATTGTTGCTTACAGAAGATATTTAGCAAGCAAAGAGACAGCAGCAGTCACTGCCTCATGTCTCATATCCCCATCATTCAATGCAAATTTTTACATTTCATGCAATAATCCTGAGCTTATTTTCAGTAACATTGAAATGTCATCTATATTAATTACCAAATACATACAGAGCCCGGCTATGGGATCTATTGTATTATTAAGGCATGAAAAAAGAATAACAGTTTATTAGCTCTGAATGCCACAAATACAGCACAGCAGTTAGAAGGCTCAAGAAAGCTCAGAAAGTACCAGTGATTTCTGTGCCAAGGTCCTCCCAGAACACAACTGCAAATCATCAGCTCCTGAAAAGGTACAGAATCAAATCCTGGCCTTGCTGACATCAGGGAGTTTTGCCTTTGTCTTGACTGCTGGACTAAGCTTCAGAGCTATCAGGAGTGACTCAGACTCCTCTTCATATCCCCAAAAAATTGACAAACTTCCTCTCACTCAAGTCAAGTATGAATTTAAAAAACAATACCTACATATTGTTTTCTTAATTAGTATTTTAAGCCTATGGAAAGGTTCCATTCATCATACAGTATGGCAATTAATAAAAGGCCTTTTCAGAAAAAGCTGATTTATTAGTCTGATTTATTAGTACGTTAAAAGAAGGGGGAAGTATCACAAAAAGAACCTCTGCCAAGTCTATGCTCTATTTATAAATTATTTTTAGTTTTAAAATTAAAGACTTTGGTAAGCCAAACCAAAAATATGTGATGCAATTCTAGTCTCCATGGTTCAATGGCTCTTCTCAACGACAAAGAGCACCGAAGCTCTGTCCAGTCATCACGTGAAGAACTTACCAAGTAAGGGGCTAGTAATATCTGGCTTGTGCAGTTCTTCACATAGCCTCTGTTTTACATATAAGAAGTTCTTGCAAAATGCCCTGTAGTGAGCCAGGGATCCCCGTTCAGTTAACTAAGCCATTGAAACCAAGGCCAAATTGGTGGTGAGACTTACTTCATGTCCCACACTGGGAACTAAAACAGCAGATGATCTCCTCTAACTCTGCTACTGCTATTGCCTGCCCCTTTTGTAGATATTTGCCTAGCTGAGCTCAGAGTTCACAGATCCAGTGGCCTTATCCTTCACCTACAGGTGGCCCACGGAGGAAAGAACCATGGTACGCAAGAGGGACAGACTCTTTCATGCAGCCTTTGCGCATACTTCTTCCCATGCCTGCACTCCTTGCACACACAAGTCACCCCTTGACAAAGACAGCATTGTCCAATTCTGTCACTGCAAGGCTCTGAAAACCTTGCAGGTGCACAAATCCAACTTAACTTATTTAATCTAAAACACCAAGTTGTAATATTGAAAAAAATTGTTCGTCACAAATAACCATTCAGGAAACTCATTACTGTCTCATTTGAGATACAAGGAGAAAAAGGTTGTTGATATTAGTTACTGGGTTAGAATTTGCGTGGCTTTTGGTTAACTTCTACTAATAAATAAGTTAAGGAAGGCTAAGGCTATAAATTGGTACTGTTTAATTTATAAATATTCACTTTGTTTCTATTATTTTCTAAAAAACATGTTAAGGAAAAAGGTGGCCAGAAGGATTACAGATGTTGGACACTGTAATTTGGTTGTTAGGCTGTAAAAACCAAATATGTAAGTGATGTTGAGCACAGTGTAAGAAAAAGCCAGTTTTTAATTAACAACTTATTTACAAGTTCATAAAATCAACTGAACTGGAGTAGATGTTCTGTGTTTGTCACCAATATTTTATTGTAACTGGTAACTTGCACACTTTATAGTAGAACAAAAAGAAAATAAAGTTCACTATATACACGCCTTTGTACAGGCTACTTGACTATACACAAGGCATAGTGATCGTAACACAACCTAGTCTTCATAATAATTTGTGCACAAAGACACCAATCAGACATTATGTGAACATTACAGTGAAATGACATCACAAGTCCAGTGAAAATTCAGCATAATACAAAACATATTGATCTACTGCAAATGACATCCTTTAAAACAGTAAGCCTTTTTATTCAGTAGTAACTTAACCAGAGTCTGATGCGGAGATTTGTTGTGTAGTTATAAGTCTTTTAAGGGAAGCAACCTCTGCAGATAAGTTTGCTATGCCCTGCTTCAAATACAGGTTCTCTGACTCAGAGACATTGTAGATATTGTCTTTTATTTCAACAACTCCAGTTTTGCAACCACTCTGAATTTTTACATTGAGTTCCTTCTGATGCCAGAGCTCTGGTTTAAGTGACCAGTCTTGGATGTTAGTCACTTGAACCGAGAAAGGAGTGTGAGAAGAATGCACCAAGTTTTGTGCACCATGTTTTTCAAGCTCAAAATGTCTTTTTGAGGACATGTCAATGGGCGATGACAATTTCTGTGTTGCATCATAGTCATTATCCATCGCTTCCACTTTAACTTGCATGGCTTTGGCTTTGATTCGAAGCTTGTGGGGCAAAGCTGAAGAATTCACTTCTGGAACTTTAACTGTTGCATGAACATTTTTATGTTCAACTGGGGAATGGATTGGACCTTTAGGAACCTGCTGTTCGTCTTCTCCATCAGATGACTTTCCAACTACACCATCATCAGTTTCTGATGTTCTGGGGGAATTACTGGAGGACCTATTAACTTGCAAGAGAGGAGGAGAATGTGAGTACACGTTAAAGGTAGCTCCCATGTAGTTTGGATATATGGATGCTTTATATGAACCTCTGTCATCTCTTGGCTCTCTCTCTAATTCCATGGGCTCCTGTTTTATGATCTGGAACTTATTTTCAGGACTCCTGCAGTTGCTTTGTATACGGCTTGGTTGAGTATGCTCTACAGATGATATTTCAGACACATCAGACATGGAGCTTTGAGGAGAATGTTTAATGACAGAAATACAACTGCTACCAACTATAGATGGTTCATGTTCTTCTACAAATGAGTTAATATTTGATTTGGAACTCTGGTAGTCTTGGAAATACACAGTTGTTGAGCTACTAAGTTTCTGTATCTCTTGGGCATAGGCTGCAGAACTAATTAAACCAAACTTCAGCTTCAATGAAAGCAGCTCTGCCTTCAGAGTGGCATTCTCCTCTCCCAGTGCAATTAGTTTGTTCTCTAAGACAAGGTCATTCAGTCGTCGTTTTTCACGAGATCTTTTGGCAGCTTCGTTATTTTTCCGCCTTTTCTCCCAATACATAGCATCTTTCTTTTCATCTGGAATGAATTCTCGCTTTCTCCGGCAAGCTGAAGATTTGCTTTTTCCGCTACTTGCTTCAGTAAGTAGTATATCTTCACTTGTAGACAATTCTTCAGACACTTCTGCTAAAGTAGACTTCAGTACCATGATTTTGTCCACATTGCTACTTGTGTCAACAGGTCCGTGTTCCTTTTTAAGGGTCTGCATTTTTCTCAGCTGCATCAGAAACAATTTATAGTAGATCTACAATGAGCAACAAAGCAAGCTATTTCCCCAGTACTTCTCACTCCACAACTTGATAGACACAGTAATTTTAAATCCACACACATTCTTCCTTTTCTTTCATATTTTCAGACAGAAGTGTCTAGAACCAATTTTCTCAGCAGAGGCAATAAGACTCTTCTTAAAAACCTGGAATAAACAGAGAATTTTATTACTATTTAGGAACTGCTGGTTCAGGACATGCAAAAGTAGCTTTTGATAAAAAGCTTAGACAAGCTTTTGGCTCATTTAACCTGCTGTAATAGGAAGACAGCTCAACACTGAAACAACTGATATTTTTAAGTTTTATGATACCTACGTAGCAGATTTGCTTCCAGAACAAATACAGTATGATCCAAGGAAAAATCAATTAAAAAATGAGTTTTGATCCTACAGTAAAGTTGTCACAGAACTTTCCGTGATACCACTGACCAACCTAAACCTCCAACACTTAACACTGCAGGACACCAGGCATGTTGATGAGCAGCACTGGAAAATATCTTGTTCTTCCACACTAAAACATCTCTTCCAAAAACAGCTGTGGTGTGTGACTTGGAAATGCTATATATTTGTGTCCTCCATGGATTAAAAATAACATAAGCTGATATAGAGAAGCTGGAGTGCTTCCTATTGTCTTTAAATAATACCACTACCCATTAAGGCTACTAAAGATTTAATTATTGTTTTTGCATCCTATTAAAAACATATACAGACATGTACATATTTCTATATATAAATGTTTATACACACACATCTGGAACTTTAAAATGCTTTTTTGATCAATCGTATCAAATCTAAACTAGTAAATGCACACACATAATTTGGGCAAATACTTAACTATTAAAAAAATATTGACAAGAAAAAAAATGTATCATGCAATTCTTTTTGTCTCTTACAAAGAAAACTTTAAAACCAGCATTGAAAAATACGTTAAAGAAATAACACCTAATTAGTAATTTTCATTTGAAAAATAGTCTTATTACATCAAAGCAAAATTTAATACCATTGAGGAATCTGCACCTTTAGAAAACAGTGTTTGTATCAAGATGGAAGTTTAGATCTAAAGGTCTTACCATCAGCAAAGGAAAACTAGCTTAACCTTTAGCTTCACATATTTTAATCATTAAATTTGAACTTAGCATTTACTTTGGTCTTTGTTTTTAGTCCCTCGTAATGCAAAAATACTTTATTCCCATAAGATTATTTGGTCTTCATCTGAGATATAGCTTCTAAATATCTCATTTTCCACAGTCAGTCATGTTCCTAGTAAAGTAAATCTAGTATGCCAACTGTTGTTACAGAACTGACTATCGAGTCAGCAATGATTCTTGCCTGTATAACAAAAAAAAAAAAAAACAGAACAAAAAACTGTTTATTGGGACTGTTTTTACAATGACTAATGAAACTAATTTTAACATTATCAATTGGGAAAGTTATAAAAGAATTAATGAAATGTATTCTGCCAGTTTTTCTTGTCTTTTCCAGAAGGCAAAGAGGAGTGAGTGATGTAATAACAATTAAGCAGGGTCATAAAGACTCAGGTTTCAAGCTGGGTTCTGTTCCATCAAACCACGCCAACTCTTCTGTCATGAAAAATTAACACATTTAATAGAACAGCTAAGTAGAATTTCCTAAAATCCATGGTTAATTACTGACATGTAACTATTTGTCTTCGATAATACAGACTTAATGGAAAATAGAGCTAGAAGCCAGCCACACCAAAGACAGCATCTAACATTCTAGTGCAAAAGCAGCACCACAAATTGCCATGTTTGTAAAGGAGAAATGTAGCTCTAATATGCAAGCAATTACATAGTTAGATCCTGATCCAAAATTCAAATTAGAATCAAAGAGTTTTCTGTCAAGTTAAATAGAAGCTGGATCAGGTTTAAAACCAAAAATAAGCACCACAACAAAGCAACATTAGTTTGTCCAAACATTCAGTACAATTTGATTTGCTGAAGAAGCTGTATAGCCATTCTGCCCGTTTCACTACTATAATCAATGGTTTAATTAATACGCACACCATTTTAAATCTAGTGCAACCCCCTGCTTAAAAAAAAAATTGTTGCTGGACACACAGAATTTAAAAATAAAACAAAAGACAAGACAAGGCTACCTGCATTTTTATGGCATTTGTAGAACATTCAGTCCCTGTAACATGACTTTACATTGAAAGAAGAAAAATACTGGGGTTTTATTTCACTATCCTGTAGCACTGGGAATGCACAGCTATTGATCCATAATTGTCTTGATATACTACAATCACTATATTCACTTGTATTATTAACAACTTCTGTCTTTCTGAGAAAATGCATACACCTTGTACGTCGTACAGTGGGAAGCAGCATAACATGTACTGAATACCTAAGAAATCATCACTTGTCTCTTAGTATGCATCTTGGCCAACCCTTACTGAAGTCAAAAGGGTTCAAAACAACTTTTGTGAAGTTTGAGAGCCTTACCAATAAAGAGGTCTCACTGAATTTAACTACTAGAGAGCTACACTCAAACCCAAATAAAAATATTTATTGTCTTAGAAAAGGGATACTAATATGCACACATCATTATTTTCTATGTATTTATCTGTCATATACCTAGAAACATCTTCACTTACTTGAAACAGGAGCAACAGCAAGGAAGTACTTACAGGCATAGGATTTGTCCATATTTTAGAAGACTGAAACTATACCTACACGGATTTAACAGAATTTCCTCTTCTATTCCAATCTTCCATTTCCACACAATATAGAACAACATGTTTAGTCTTGAACAAGACTGTTTCAGGATAAGAACTGTGACTTTGTGTCTATCTGTATGGTCTCTAGTGCAAAGTGATCTCACTTTGGTGTTTGTCCAACACTGCTATCTAGGAAAAATACTAACAGTGATAATAATAATGGTAATAGTAATAATAATTAACAAGAAGTTCTTACTTTGTTGTTTGGCTGTTTTTTTTTTTAATTGACTGTCGACTAATGGCATAGTTCATCAGTATAACCATCTATGTATGAGTAAAAACTCAACTGCACATCCAAACATCATCTCCTGCAGCCTAACACTGGCACTGAGCTGCACTTCACAACCCCACAACCTGCAGAGTTCACGTCCCTTTGTCCATGGGACTTCTGCAGTTTGGGCCATTCCAGCGTACAACATGCTCACTGTAGCACTGGTAACTCCTGTTTTGGCCAGTCTCCCTCCTGTACACATTGTTCCTGGCAGAAACAGATGGAACGTAAGTAGCATGCAAGTCTACAGCAAATATTGTGTATCAAAACGACCATGTTTTTGCATGCAGTACTCAACTTTGCCAGAGTCCATCAGCAAAGCTGTCAAGATAGACATGTAACTCACTGACATAGTCTTACTGGTTTGCTGTTTACACAGTTAGTTCTAATGCCATTACTTTAGTGAACTAACAAAACAACAATAAATCTTTAGCTCTTTCCACATCTTCCTTGAGAACTTTTATTATGGTAACTAGAACTGCTGCTTTACAAACGGGAGTCAAAGCCCTCACTTATTAATACTTCTCCATGTGGATCAGCCGAATGCTAAGTCTGTAAACAAATTAAATTCCATCTGATGATAATGGCAAAATGCCTTCAGTGAAACCAGCCATTTCACTTCACTTGCATTTTGTAATTCCACTGGAAAACATCAGTATTTACACATAAATTAATGAACTGTAATGATTCCTCTGACTATATTTCAAATTCCAGTATTTTCCCTTATGATTAATTTTTCAATTGCTTTATCACTCCCTCATAAAGAGTTACAAACCCAGCATTTAATACTGCCTTACATTAGTCACTGTTAAAGACCTTTTTTTTTTTTTGGTTGGTTGATGATAATGGCATTGAGTGCCAATACAACAATGTAATAACACTTGACCCTATTAACTTAATTACAGACCCAGTCTTGCTCCCACAGCAGTTCTGCCATTGGCTTCAACAGAAGCAGGATACAATCCCAGATCCAAGTATTAATGAAACTGTCATATATAACTCATGCTATTGAAGCAAGAAATTACATATGCAGAAATCATGAAAAGTTAATTTATCCATGGACTTTAAAAAACACTACAGTGATCTGACTCTGTCAAAATATTAGATTAAGGATCTGATCCTGGGGATTTGTGTATTCAGACTGTAATAATTTAAATGTTTCAAAAGGTTGAAGGACAGGGCCACAATCTTTCCTCTCTCTCTCCTCTGTGTAATTTAATTACATAAGTCATTTCTGCTTCATAGAATGCATGTGGACCTCCCCATGTACATGCTTCAACACAGAATAATCATGTATTATTATTTTTATTTAGCAAAATAATTCATGCTACCTCCAAGCACAATTTTTCAAACATATCCTAGAATGCGATAACTAATTGTTTAATTCTATTGTGCTAACATTCTTATACTGATTCTATGAAACTAAATGAAATCCAATTTCTAGAAGCTGGATGCTCAAACACAATTCACTTTTGTACCACTATGCATCCAAAAAATTTCTCTCGCAGTCCTTCAAAAATGGAAGAAAATACCAGTGAAGTATAACTTCTTTTAAAAAAAGAACCATGCCTCTATCACCACCACCACTATACAAACTGCACAAAGACAGTAAAATCTCATATTGATACGTGTCTGTGCATATTTTCAGTTGTTGTCATCCATGTTTTGCATAGGTATCATTAATTATATTACTGCTACCGTTCCGTCACAAGTTATCTATTTTGAAAATCTGTCTACGTACCAGAAGAGATGGTGTAGAATCGGCTCCTATTTACCAAAATGACCGGTTTGCATTCCAAACTTCGAAAACCTGAAGAATATAGTTTGCACTTTATGTTCAAAGCGTTTCAAGAACAGTTGCTATCTGTCTCAAGACTTCGGTGAGGTACAGAAAAAATATTGTCCTCATTGCACACACAGGACAGTGGGCTGGGTTTAAGCTTAGGTGGTGAATGCACAGCCTGCCCAAACACTGATGAAATACTTTGGAGCCAATCTACCTCTACTACTTTTCACAGACAAAAATTATGCCATGAAATTCTGCACCTCTCAGGACTGTCACAATTCGGAAATCCTCGCCAACAGAGGATGCGGCCCCATTCCAGCCTCCACTGAAATCCTTCAACACATTTTTTC